ACACTTTCTCATAGGCATATTCAAGATTTCAAAATATGCCTAGAGAACTTGTAACAGCTGTGTAGTATTGGGTCATTTTACACAGCCATAATCCAGTTGTGTTATTACAACAGGCCTCTCATAATAGTTAAGCAGGTTGTTAGGAAACAACTTTCTGGAGTTGGTATACCAGTACTCTGTACTGCCATTTAACTTTCACTTACAATTGTGATTCCCCTGACTTACAGTTTTCCTTTAGTGCAGAATACAGTGAAAGAGCTTGTAGATCTGACATTCCTGGTTTGGGAAACAGGAAGCACTGGGAATCATCTCAGGGCACACTTACAGATGCTTTGCTGTACTGCACACTGCATTGTTTGTCTGGAACCTCAGACAACAACCTGCAGTCATTCATTCTCTTTGGACCTTTGGAACTTCACTCAGCCATAGCCTCAGGTTTTGGCTGGAGAAAATGGAAGGCTTTCTTATATTTTTAAGGATTTTATTAATAATTTTACAGTATGTAACTGCTGACTCTTCTAACACTGAAATCTGTGGTGCTTTCCATTCAAATCAGAAATAATTTTATATAGGGTGGCTGCAACCTTTTCTTCTGCTGCTTCTAATAAATATTATATGTCTGACATTTAAGCCTTACATCTCACAGTTACTAAGATCCTTCTAATAGCAGAGCCTGAGGTCCTATTAGATGAAAAAACAACTGTGCTGACATCTAAGTATGTGAAATGCCCGTTCACCGTGAAGTATCTTAAAAATGACCACAGCATCCTAGCTAGGAGAATTTTCAGTAGCTCAACCGATCATGCAAAAGCTCCAGTTGCTTGACAGTGCAACACCTTGTCTACTGAATAACACAACCCAGTTTCATATTAACTCTTTGTGATGTAGAAAGAATCAAATTCCAAGGTATTAATCAAGATATACATAGTAGCTCTAGCAACTTAGCTGAGCCAACACCTCTCAAAGTGCTAGTATTTTTTTTTCTATGACCATTAATCATTTGTTTATCCTTAATATTATATTCTAAATACATAAATCCTTAATATATTACTAATATACCAAGCAATACTTGTATTGCCTTTTCCTTGTATTTTAACTCAATGTTTATAGAAAAAGGAGGAAGAATAAAAATTGCATGTGGAATTTACTTCAAACTGCCTGTCTGGCTCAGGGGTCAGGCTGAAAACGTTAATATCCTCAAAATACCGCCACTATTTCTCATATTTTTAAGGCTGAATAACTGTTTCCCTCCCCAAATTACTTTCTCTTTTGATCTTATAAGAAAAAAACCTCAGGCTTTTCCATATCCATACAAATTTCCTGTTCATAATGCATGTCAGGAGGCTGCATTTTTACATTTGGAAACTAAAATGATCTGTCCAGTAGGTTCAAAATACAGAACCCAGCAACAGAATTTGTAGTCCCACATTTAAGAGTTTTAAAGGCCTTGGAAAATGAACATTCTAAAGAAGAAATAGACCTTTCCCTTAAAGATTTCAGGCCCTACCCTTATTCAACACAATTATTATTTATAAATATTTGTAACTTTTCTCTTTTCAGATATGTTCTGTTAGAGGCATCAAGGAAATGGTCTTAATCTGTGCAGAATTTAGACAAACTGGGAAGATAATGAAAAAAAAGGTGAAAGGTGGTATGAAAGAATTACTTGGTGCAGGGTTTAATTGGGTCTTAAACTACCACACATCTATACAGGAGGCAGAGGCCCAGGGAGAAGAAGAGGAGAGAGAGCTGAGAAATGGAGTGGTTGACTGTGAGCTGAAAAAAGGAGAGAGAAGAGAAAAGATGCCAGACTTCGAGAAACTGGGAGGCTATTCCAGGTTTAGTGGGTGGAATGAAAGGAGCCCAATGACAGGGAGCTGAAAAGCATTCATACAACATTTCTGCAGTGCGCATATCTCCTTTGCTCCCTGTTTCATCGATAGACTCGCATATATTATAAAACTGTGCGTGGGAGCACCACATGGTGGTTTCCTATATCTTTTTAAAAATCCATATGAAACATTTCATGATTTACCACCTGTCAGCTTCTCTAGATTTTTTGCCTTTACTTTTTCAGTTGTTGAAGACAAATGTTTTCTGTCATTTGTTGCTGGCTCTCTCTGCCTGCCTCCAGCCTTTCCCCCAGCAGCTGCAGTAAATCAGCACGGCCCTGGGTAACACTTCCTGGCTGCTGGTCACAGAAATGCCCCCGTCTGCCTCCAGACCATGCTTGCTCTGTGCAGTGCTCAGCAGTGGAGTAGGGACAGGAGGGACAGAAATCTTGGCTTTCTTGGTGCTTGGGAGAACAATCTGTGAAGGAGCATGTGGGCATGAGAAAAGAAAGGGGAGGTAAGAAGTGTGTACTGTTTCTCAGGCTTGAGAGACTTGGGGGATGGTTTAGTATGCACAGAGGAAACTTTCCATGACACCTAGATGGAAAAGATTTCTCCTGAGCAGAATTCAGAACCTGTGCCTTAACTGGTTTCTATTCTCTGATGATACCTTAAACAGGATTTTGGAAAATGACAAACACGTATGGTGAGACACAACAGAAAGAGCAAGAAATGGTCTTTCTTCTCTAGAGGTGGTGAGAGAGAGGCTGAGTGTAGGAAATGGGGGTTTCAAGGTGATGGGAATAGCATGAGAATCTGAATAGATTCATACGGGCACTTACACACAGCTGAGGACTGAACCTTACAAATTTTTTTCTTTCTTTTGTACAGCAGTTCTCCCCTTTTCAAGAAAAAAAGACAATATATAAATCTGTCAGGCTAGAAGATACCATAATAAATCTAACACATGTATGGCATATTTACAATTTTATATGTTGCCATTCCTGATGAATCTGGACAAGCAGCATGCTAATTGCTGTTCTCTAGAGGGGTTAGGAGGAAAAGAATCATTAAAGAAAAGCTCCGTGGCATAATAAAAAATTGTGATTGTCTTTTCCAGCCTTCTTCTATGTGTCCACAGAGGATGGGCTAGGTTACCTAATTAAAAAAAAAAAAAAAAAAAGTATTTTGTAGTATGTTTCTTTAATATCTTTATGTGAGAATGCTTTTCAAGAAGTAAAAGGATGAATAAGGCAAGTATCAACCCTTACAAGGACAAGAAACATTGGAATTAAAATGCAAAATGGATTATGTTTATTTGGAATTTTCTCTGTCATTTAGTAGAGGTTCTTTAATTTGTTTATCTCTCCCTAAAATTGCCTATTGAATTTAATTAAGTGCACCGTAGATTTATGAGTCAGGGCAATATGAAGATTTTTTTTTTTTTAGAGCAAGCTTATTTGTTCCTTGGATGAGTTTTCTCAAAGATGTTGTAATTATATGCCTGGATTACCACTGGCATAGAAGAAAGTTCACTCAAACACAGCAACAGCAGATAGGCAAGGCACATGTCTTAGGCTCAATGAAATTTGTCAACCCCCATGGCCATGCATCTAAACCCATCTGCATCAATTACTTAAGGAATCTTTGTTGGTGATGCATCTTTAAATTACTCATTGTGATCATAATACTTTTAGATACACACATGACATCTCAAGTCATGACATATCTCATATGATTCTGGCATGTTTGCATGTTTGTCTAGACTCTTCTACAATTCTCTTTATCTTCTTTTTCAAGAAATATAAAAGAATATCTACTTCTCTAAATTTACGCTTATACAAATAGCTAGGATATCTAAGGACTCAGTGGAATTTTGCCCATCAACAGCAACAGAAACAATGAAGTCATTACATTTACCATAATACTAAAGAGAGGAAAAAGTCTGTTGGTAAAAATTAATTTTTGACTATTTCTCACTACAGCATTCCAGATAGGTGGTGCATTAATGTTAATGAGGTAGCTAATCACAGTTTGTCATTGATGGATCTACAATCATTAATCCATGAAATTTTAGATTATTTCTGTAAATCGAGAGATAATGAGGGAACTGAGTAGGTCTATTTCATATGTCAGGCTCACTTGAGAGAAAGGCTGTTATTCCCATGAATAAGGGGCAGGTTATTCATGTTCTGTATGCCTGTACATATTGTTCTTAAATATAGTGTATAAACCTGTAACTGAATGAGCAGAGTCTGACCCAACTGCACCAAATTAATTGGAAAGCCCCTGACTGAATCAAATGAAGTGAGAGGAAGAACAGCTTTGCTTTTGGGGCTTCTCTGTTCCTCCAATGACTGTTACATGGCAATGATAATTACTAATTGATGGGTTCTGAACCTTAGAGTAATGTAGCTACAAATGATATATAAAAGGATGGCTTACTATATCCATGATAAAGGTGTTCCTTTGAGTTTGCATTCATTAAATGTTTAATAGGATATTTTTAATACATATACACTGGGATTAAAAAAAGAATAAATAAAGGAAAATGTTTTTTTATTGTGACAAATATAAAACTTCCAGTGAAACAAAGAAAATCTGGACCAAACTGAGCCTATGGCATCATTCTCATTGCCTTCATGGTATGGAGTTTCGACTGCAGTAAGTTATTTATCAGCTACAAATACTAGGTTTTCAAACTGGGGCCACACTATATTGTGGGCTACAGATCAGTCTGAAGAGTTATTGTGTTAGTCTGGGCTTCAATTTTGGCCACTATTTGTATTAAAGCTGTGTGAAAATGTCATGAAATCTGTGAAATTTGAGGCTGATCTATTTCAGTTCAGTAAAATAGGGTAGAAGTAACAGAAGGAATTTAAACCAATTTGAGGAAGCCAAGATTGTTTGGGATTTTGGTCAGAAACCACGAGATACATAATGGCTTTGATCAAAATGAGACCAACTTATGGTTTCAGCTGAATTTCCTCCTCCAATCTGAGATTCATTAAAACTCTAACTGACAAAGAACAGCTGTCAGCTGATACCAAATTAAATTTTGCCTAAAAGTTTTCAAGCCAATACATCTCTGTCCAGTAAATCACATTCTATTGCTTCTATGGCTGCTTGTTACTAACAGTTCTTACTGTTGTTTTGCTTTCTTTTTAGTAACAGAAGTGGTGAGAAGATAAGGACTGACATTGTTTTGGAAAGGTATGAATACTCGTGGGTATGACGCAGGTATATTTGAGAGAAAGAAATGGGACATGGTAAGTAAATCAAGAGCTAGTATCTTCTATTCCTCCTAAGAAAAAGTAGGAAATACATATTATTCTTTAACTTAGGTCCAAGGATTAGTAATGAAGTAAATGTTTGTGAGGAAGATGAGAAAATTCACAATTGCAACACATGAATCATAAGCTTTTTGAAATTAAATTACCTTTGTCTTTGTGGTCTTCCTTGTTAAGCTATTGGTTGCAGTCACAAATTTAATATATTTTTTAAAATATGAAACCAATCATGGAAAGACTATAAGCCTTCAGAGCTATGTTCTGGTGTATTAGCCATGGGAATTCCCGTCTTCTACAGGAGAAGGTTTTTTTCAGTGAACTAGTTTAAAAAATATTAGATGCTTTCTGTGACATATGTTTGCAGCTTCACGGATTATAAAAGCAGAAGAGAGAACTGCGATTGTCCAGACTGACCTTCTGTGTACCATGGGTTACAGTATTAATTTCCGTTTGCAGTCAAACGTATTCTAGGAAATGGGGATATAAAGATATTAAATATCCATTGATGAATGGCTCCCAAGTTTATCTAATCTCATTGTGAAAAATGCTTCTGGTCTGATTTTGTCTAGTCTCAATCTCTAGCCATTAGAACTCATTTTGTCTTTACCTGCCAGACTGAGGTGCCTCTTTAATCACATCATTACTGTAAACTTTACTGTAGAACAGAATAGTTTTATTTTTCTTTGAGTCTATTTGATTAAGAGTTTCTTTTGAATTGCCTTGGAGAGACATTTGAGAAATTGAATATTGGTAGATGGGAAGTTGACTATCATCATGTTCATTGACTTTGGAAGGCCGGCCGAAAATACTGAAGGTGTTTTTTCAGACCTTAAGCAAGATAGCATAATGACCTACTTTAAACATGCTTTTGAGATGGTAAAAAAAAAAGGATTTGAAGTTTTCTTCAATTTATTTTCTATATCTTTCCATATCTATTTGTATATATGAGCTCTTCTACCCTAGTATGGTGTTTCTGTGTGGTCTTTTCTTTTAGACTATGCAGAGACTCTCAGAAAAAATAATTTTCAAGCTTTAATTCTTTTATGACAATTGTTTGACAAATGAGCGTCTGAGTTTCAAGTGGAGGCTGCATGCTTGATGGGGATGAGGACAAAGACATTTATTTGCACCAAGCATGTTACGTGTGATCCTCGGTAAGTTTTTCTATCCAGATCCCTGAGTGTGAGATCTGTTGGAGTCCTAGTACAAGCTGGAGCTCTCCACACCCTTGGTTCAAGTCTACAGTGGGGATTTTTAGGCTTGGACTCCCGTAGCAGGACGGATCACATCCGTTCAGGGTAGCCAGGGCTGGGGCTGCCATGCAGGCCAGGAATGAAGGACACTAAAGTAATTAGTGCCCTTGGGGACTGAGGTACACTGAGTTACAGGGCTGTCCATAGAGTGTTTGATCCATGAAACTTCGGCAGTTTAACTGTAATTTCAGTCACAGCTGCCAGAGTTCTAAGAAGCATATTGTGTTTCAGAGTCAACATATGCTGGCATTTCCAAAATGAATTTCTCCTCTACCCTAAGATTTTTACTTTATGGGAATCCTGAAATATCATAATTTTCTCTCTGTTGTTGTCTCTGTGTCCTGAAGAGTTTTGATCACTGTTGCTGCAGTTCTCTGTACCTTCTCTGATGTTTGGTGTTTTCCAAGCTGGGGAAATCAGATTTCATGCAGCAGCAGACTCACTATAGAGTTATAAAATGGCATAATGGTGTTTCTCCTTCATTCTATCTTCCTTTCTAACAGTTCCTAATGCTTTATTGGCCTTCTTAAGTGCTTCTGAGTACCAAGCTGATGTTTTCGTAGTACTATCTATTGTAACTCTGAGATAGCTTTCCTGAAAGTTAATAACTAATTTAAACTCAGTCACTGAATATGTATAGTTAAGGTTACTTTTCCATGTGTGTTACTTTACATTTATTTACACAGAATTTTGTCTGTAAATTTATTGCCTAATCATTCTGTAACATGAAATTCCTATGCGAGTCTTTGCAGCTTGCTTGCCTTTTTACTATCCTGAATAATTTGTCAATAGTAGAAAATGTTGCTATCCCTGCCACCCCTGTTTGAGATCATTTCTGAAAATACTAAATAGCACAAACCTCAGGGCAGAGGCTTCATGTGAAGCCTTACTATTTATTCCTACTTTAGCTTCCTATCTTTTTAATCTGTTATTAATCCATAAGAAGACATTCCCATGGTATTTTATGAACCTTTGGTTAAGAAATCCTGCTGAAAACTTTTAGAAAATTCAAGTACATCATATAAACTGCCTTGATTGTACCCTACAGAGAACTCTAACAGGTTTCAGTGGCATGACTTACCTGTATGAGAACTGTGTTGACTCTTTTTTATGATAACAGGGTTGTTCCTGTATCTACTGTTTCTTTTGATCATTATTCTATGATTTGGTTGGGTGCAGATATACTTGCTGTAATTCTCTAGATCACCTAAAAACTCATTTTAAAAAACTGGGCAACTGCTGGCTTATGTTTACCATCTTCCACCCATCTGATGCAAATGATATTTTAAATAATCCACATAGCAGTTGAGAAATTTTATATTTAAGATTTGTGATGCTCCTTTGTGTCCTATAATGTGTTACTATTCCTCTTACCAGTTGTTTTTTTTTTTTTTTTTAATGCCCTCTTCTCCTAACATATCAGTTTAAGATAGATCCTCTTATATATCCCCAAAGGTTGTTGAGTCTAAGTGGCTGCACATATTCCAGCTACAGTAATTTATTAGCTTTTCTTCTACAGCATTATCCTCGAATGTTCCCTTTGTACCTCTGTTGCCGTTTGGTCCTCCGGAAAGACTGATAGCCTACATGCTTTGGCTATGCTTTAAGGATTTACTGTTAGTTTTAGTGTCTTCTTCAAGTTGTTTCTCAACAAAATATTTTATTTAATTTTTACATTTTTACATATAGCTTCCTAGATATTATATTCTTTCCTGTTTTCCTTCTTGTAGACATTTGCACTGTTTGAAGCATGTCTTCCTGCTTCTGATAACCTCTGTTATTGAACTATAGTGGTCTTTTTGAGCTATTAAAGATTTTTTTCATATGTTGTGTGTTTTAGCTGATGTCATTATACAATCTGTGATTTTCAAAAATACAAGTTTTTTGGCTGTTGCTTCTTATATAGTTTCCTTTTTAAAGCTAAGCACAGATACAAAGTATTTTTCGTTTCTCCTATGAGATGTTAAATCTGGCTACATTATGGAATCCCTCTTTAACATTAGATCTTTGAAAGCGATATCCTGAATAAGGTCACAGGCACCATTCAGTATGAAGTCAGGAATTAGTTTTTTTTTTTTCTTTTGGCCCCTAACAAGCTTTTCCCAAAAGCAAATGTTTATATTACCTAAGAATTTTGTCTCAGTATCACCTACATTAACACCTACCCAGTTTATGTGAGCGTGTTTGAAATCTTCTGTTATTGTTATGCTTTTTGTCCTTAAAGATGCTCTTCACAGTCCTTGTCACCTTTCTGATAAATCAGTACTATGAACTTAATACTATACTTTTGTTACTGAGGATTGGAATTGCAGTGCATAGTGATTCTGTTCCTTGTTGATATATTTTATTTATTTATCAAATTTCATTCTGAACTTTCTTTAGTAAACAGCCTGTATGTATTTGCTGTGGTTGCTTATTTTTAGGCTCAAATTTAGGATTTTGTCGCAACTTTTATTTGAGCTTCCTACTTGCATTTTGTTGATTTTTGTCCTATGATTTGTTGGAGGATACAGAGCTGTTCTAACTTTCCTCCAGGGAGAACTGTTATTCTAAATGTTATGTGGTATGCTCTACTCCTATCAGCTTTCTCTGCCTTTTTTTTTGACTCAGAAATATTCTTGTAGAACCATTTTAAGTGCCAGCACTGAAATAAATTTCCTTGAGAGTTAATGCCATATTAATCTCTGGACGTACTAGACAAACATCTGTCAGGAGTGATATAGAGGCATTTGAACCAGCTTTGAGGCAAGGAGCTGGACTTTATGACCTCCAAGCATCCCTTCTAGCCTGATCATTTCTTTTAAACTGATAGCTGGGTAAACAGATGCAACTTCTGTAATCTTACCAAAGTACTGGATCCATACCTTTTTTTTTTTTTTTTTTTCCCCTGTAGCTGGAGATTGTAGTTCCTCAGAGGTAAAGGTAGTGGATATTCTGTTGAAGTGCTGGGGAGATAGGAATTCTGATGTATGCTAACTATTTATTGCTATTAGGATTGAAGTAAATAGAGGTCTCTTCTCCCCAAATGCCTTATAATATTGCCAGTTGTAACTCCAGCAAAGTAGGCAATCAGTATTTGCTTTTAAGAAATATAGTGGGCTCATTTTTGTTATAATTTTTTATTTTACTGGTGATGACAGTATGTTGTCATCCCTTTAAAATATACTGTCTTTAGTTAAATTATTTCCTATGACGTGATGCAACTTGGCAGAATTCTTTCAACCATATTAGTATGGTCAACTGTCTTGAAAAACATAGAAGCAAAAGCTCACACACTAAAAATAGCTGAAATGAAGAAAACCAGATTTTTTTTCCTATCCATTTGTTGGTAAAAATGTGCACCACTGAGCAGCACACCTCTAGTTATTGCAGTTGTTAGGTAACCATGCAGTCTAGGTTAAGTAGAGTACTTATGAATCCTAATGTAATACTCTTCTGCCTAAACATACTGTCTGTGAAAACACTTTGGCTTTCACTCTGCATTTGTCTAAAATAGCAAAAGGGACAGTCATGCCACGCTTTATTCCACTTGCATTCAACATGACGCTTGCTAAGAATAGGTGGATATCATATTGTATAAAAAGTAGCATAATGGCATGTGACTGTATTTTCAATGAGGGAGGCAGGATGTGCCTGTACTGTTAATGAGACTGCTGCTTCATACTTTGTTATGCAGTCCTGCTTTCATGAAATCAAAATCTGGATGACTCATCGTATCCACTCAAA